GATTCTGGTGCCGTCCATGTTTGAGCCCTGTGGCCTCACACAGCTCATCGCCATGCGCTACGGGGCTGTGCCCGTCGTGCGCAAGACAGGAGGTCAGCCACCCCCTCCCTGCAACTCTCGTCTTGTCACTCTCTCCCTTGTTCCTTTCCCCACTGTTCTTAGTGGCACAATGGCTCTGAAACAAGCCTGCCCTTTCATGTCCCCTCCTTCCATCCCTCCCTCTCCCAACCCCTCTTACCGTCCTGGCATGCACGTGCTCTCTCTCTCTGCGTGGCAGGGTTGAACGACACGGTGTTTGACGTGGACAACGATCACGACAGGGCCAGGGCGCAGGGCAAGGACGTCAACGGCTTCTCCTTTGAGGGTGCCGATGCCGCCGGCCTCGACTATGCCCTCGACAGGTACTGTAACCCATGCCTTCCCTGGACCGCCAGCGCACTACTGTAGAATGGCATGTGACTGCTAAATTGAAACAAGCAGCGCTTTGGCTTTGATGGAATAGATTGAGAATGGCGTGAGGTTGAAGGCACAGTTTCCATATTTTTTGCCTCACTCATTCGCCTGCCTTCCAAATCCTCCACTTGGTGCCTCCCTGACTTGTGTTCTGTGCAGAGCCATTTCTGGGTGGTATGATGGGCGCGAGTGGTGGAATGGGTTGGCCAAGCGGGTCATGGAGCAAGACTGGACTTGGAACAGACCGGCGCTCGACTATCTCGAGCTCTACTATGGCGCTAGGAAATGAGCTGGCCACTGCTCCTGGCAATAAGCAACTACCGTAAATGAAAGAATTGGGTACCTTATTTCTTTGTATGGTTTGAATCCACATGAACGCGTATCTGGGTGCTCGAGTTGAGGAAACTTACCAGCATCAAGATGGCTTCAGTTCATGCAGACACATCACAACTTATTGTGTTGGGAAGGCTGGTGTGTACTTACCTCCTAAAAGTCAATCTCCGTTGGGTATGTGTTTGGTCGATATGTAACAACGAGTCTGTCCAACACGCGTCACGCATCGTGGAAAGGGCTGGTCATGAGGCTAAAGTTCGCTGGATGGCCGTACGCTCGCCACCGCAGCGAGTGTGAATTTGTGGTGACCAGGCAACCTCAGTTGGTGGAGCGTTATCCGCACTTTTTCCGATCCACCAATCCGCGCGCTGCTCTCAACTCTCTTCTCTCTTTCACACAGCTGACTTCCGCGCCTCGCATGATCCCATCTGTCGCTCCAAGAAGTTCGGCAAGCGTTTCGCATCCCGCTTTTTATCTGGCGGAGAGGGTAACGTTGAGATAGGACCTATCGTCCAGTGGTGCACTGAATGGTTGTGCGACTGTGCGACGGGGAAGCACGTCGCGATGACCATGAATCGGTCGCACATTGTGGATGCTATGCGAGAAGGCGGCTCCACACCACACAGCAGGCGAGTGGCGATTGTGCAGGCTGAGCGGATCTCCCTCGCACGAGCCACCAGTTTTTCGAACAGGAGATGTTTTGTCACTGTCACGAATTTCAAGTGCGGAATAACCCTGGGCAAAAATGAAGTATTTCTGCGAGTGCTTCGCAAAGATGTCGCACAGAGCTGGCGATGGTCGTGAGTCACCAGGACTGATGGTGGCTGCACTCGCCTCGCTCGTTGTACGCTCACCCATGGTCAGCTCAGGCCACATCCATGGTTGCCCCTCTGCCCTCGCAGCTCGCTCCCCATCCACTCATCCGCGGGAGCTCAAGCCTCATCGCCTTTCTCTCTGGCTCGATCGTATCCCTCACCATTCACTGACCCACTCGGTCCCACCTCCCAAGGAAGCTGCTTTTCCCCCATGACAGAGTGTGCGCTGTGATTGGCTGCTAGGGAAGCAGGTGATTGAGAGCATATGCCGTAGCTTTGCCTACAGCAGCAAGCAGAACTTCATCGCTCTGCGAGCAGCCAAAACCGGAAGGCCAGCTCAAGTGTGGCACTACATAACACCTCGTCTCATTAGGATTCTATTCCTGACCAGCCTTGTGGTGTCCCAACAGCCACGCGCCCATTCACATCGAATTCGCTCTTGTCTATCGATATCTCCGCGTACCGCTACGCTCGCTTGCCCCCTCGTTCCTGGCATCTCCGCAGCCTCCGCTCACATTCCGCGTGTCCCTCCGCCTTTCCGACAGCCGCCATGCCGCCATGGGAAACGTACCTTGCGCGGCCTCCGCTGCAGGCGGAAATGTCTTATCCGCGTGACACGTGGCAGAGTGCCGCGCCATGCGACAGTGTCGCATACGACGCGGGGTCGTGGCAACAGTCTGTCGCTCAACACCACCCGCCGCTACCCTCCCACCTCTCCTCCGCGCTCTCGGCGCTCGCTTCTGCGAATTCCTCTCATCTCCCGGACCGCGCATTCTCCCCCTCTCTCCCGCACCACGCGCAAGGCCAAGCCCTCCAAGGACCGTCGGTGCTTCCGCCGAGCCTGCCCTCCGCGCCCTTCACGTCCTCCGCCTTCGCCTTCCCCTCTCTCGCCCTCGAAACCTCTCTCTCCGCGCTCTCGCTTTCCCTCCGCTCGCAGTCTCCGCCTGAACCTCCCGCGCGCCCTTCACTCCCCCACGCCGCCTCCGCGGGGTCTCTCCGCGCCCTGGCTTCCGCCGCGGTGTCCGCGCCCACCTTTGTGCCACCTGCGCCGTGTTCGGCGGACTGCGACAGCAGCAGCAGCGGTCGTCGCAGCGCGAGCTTGATTCCCTATCCGGGGGAAAAGGCGACACACGCTACGTCGTCGGGTTCCAGTCCGTCGTCGCCCGCGTCGTTCGTGTCGTCCGTTTCGTCGTCAGTCGCCGGCCATGCGACGGCGGCACATTTGTCGCATGATTCGCTTCCTGCCGACAACCCTTGGTACGTGTCGTCGCCTGCGGCGTTGGCCCCCACGGACGCAAAGGACGAGCCTGGCGCAGCGGCGGCTGGTTCGGGGGAGGCAGCAGGCGAAGAAGCGATTCCTGATACGCTCCCCCGCGCGGTTGGCGGCACGGTGGAAGATCCGGCTGCGGCGGGCGTGGCGCATGCGGCACACGCGACACGCGAGACACCGGCGACACATGCAGAGGAGGTGGAACGACTTCAGCAGGCAGTGCGGCGGGCGGAAGCCGCTACGGCTGAAGCGCAGCAGGCGGCGGCGATGGCGCAACTAGAAATGGCGCAGATGCAGCGCGCGTGCGGGGAGCATGCGCGGCAGGTGGTGCGCCTCCGGCGCGAGCTGGACTCCGCGGGAGACGCGCACCTGCAACTAGCGGCGGAGGTGGCGTGTCTGCGCGGTGAGCTGGCGGGCGCGGGGGAGGTGGCGGCGCAGCAGGCGGGACAGGCGGCGCGGCTGCGGCGGGAGCTGGAGGGGACGCAGTGCGTGGTGGTGCGGCAGGCGGCGGAGGCCACTCAGCTGCGCCGCATGGTGAAGGCCGTCCACGCGCTCGACGTACGTTGCGCGCGCCACACTTCCCCCTGATGCCGCCCTTCATTCCGCTGCTTTCGCGGCTTCTCTACATTCTCTTGCACGTCATTGCATGCCCCCTGGTTCCCATCTCCCATCCATCCCCTCATTCTCTCGTCCCTATCTCTCTCCACGTCTTTCCCCCCCTCCCCCCGCGCCCCACTTCCCCCATCAGCTGGTGCATCTGGAGGACTTCGCCATCGCCGCGCTACAGCACGACCTCAAGGCGGAGGCGCGCCGCGGGCTGCCCGCTGCGGACGCGGCGCTTCTAGACGCGCCGGACGAGTACGGCGGGTGCCGGCAGTTCTACCAGACGGGGTGCTGCCACTTCGGCCGCGGGCGCCGCCCGTGCCCCAACGAGGCGAGCCACTTCTGCCTGCGCTGCGGGCGCGCTCACGGCACGGCGCCGCACCTGGTGCTGCTGAGGCGCCTCAACGACCGCTGCCTGTTGCCGCAGTGACTGGACTCACATGCACATGATTGCCATGATTGCCCCTCAAGTCTCACCCCAACTGCTTATCTCTCTTCACTGACCTTCCCCTGCCTGCTGCCTCAGTGGCTTGCGCGATCTAGCAAGTTGTGATCGAATCATGACAGCGGCAGCTCTTGTCTCCTCTCGCTCCACACACTCACAGCTCCCCTGCCCGCCACACACCGGACCCTGCGCCCCTCTTTTCCCCGCCAGCACCACACCACACCACACTGCATCGAGTCATGGGTGTGGCTGCACGGGGCTAGCCATACCCTCGCACGTCCCTCGTGCCGTGCCTCTCCGCACCGTGGCACGTCTGGGTTACCTGCCCACATCACTGTGCTGCCCTCCCTCCCACCCATCATACAGCCCCAGTGCGACGCACATTCAACGAGCATTTGTTCAATTGGAAACAGTAGCTAGTGCAACTCACCACTAGCGGTTCTGCCGGAGGTGTATTGAAGCGCTTGGGTTGCTACCGGCACATAGCACCGCCATGTTTTGCTGCTGCCTTGCCTAGCTTTCATGGACAGGCAGCCTTCCAGCTTGCTGCTGGGAGCTCCGTTGATCTTGTCAGCTGTTTTGGCATCAATGCCCGCTCCTGTTTCATTCAATGCTTATGGTTATGCTGTAACATTTTTTAAGGTATGCATTGCACGAGTACAAATCAGGTTCGCTCTTGAAGCTGTGTGCACCTCCAGCCACCTTAGACTGTCAAGGTCGGAATGGCATCGATTCAATGTGTTATGCAACACAATTGTATGTGGCTCTTTTGAGTGTACACAAGATGCCCGAACCCAACAAGCCCCTGAGTGAAGATGTTCATGCTGGTACAGATGCAACAACTCAAGCGCCCTGAGGACCTTGTCGGGGAGATGAGATCAACAACCTCAGCCATTCGCATTGCAAGAGCGTTTCCAGCAAAACTACGGACTATACCGGTATATTATGGAGCGCCCATCGTACATACAATAGGTATTGGTAGTCACACAATCGACTGTCACCTTCACCAAGCAGGTATACGGTGGCCCCATTTGGCATTACCGCATATTTCAAAAAAAGAAAAGTACAAGGCTTTAAAATGTCACCACCGCTTCCAGCCAAGATTGAAAGGGTTGTTGAACCCAAACCGCCCTCCTTGTGCCGCCCCACTGCCACCCGACGGACCATCAACCCTCTTGGCCTCCACCCTGCCACTCTGCCTCAGCCCGTCACAAATCTGCTCCGTGATCGGTGACTGGAACTCCTGCGGCACGTTCTGGCAGAACCGGGCAGCCTCGTCAGACTCCACCGAGGGAGCCACGAGGGGCACGAGCGATTGTAACCGCGTAACGGCGGCGCGCTGGGCCTCCACCTCTGCTTCCATGGCGTGTAACCTCTCCATTGCCTCTACGCTCTCTGCCTCGGTCTCCCCTGCTACCTGCTCCAGTGCCCTGCTGGCCTGTGTGGCTGCATCCAGCTGTGCAGAGAGCGTGTTGATCTGCCAGGAAGAAGAGGGTTGGGAGGGCGAGGCGGAGCAACGCAAAGGAGGAACGATTGCTGCTGGCCTGCACTGGCTTCAACACCTAGCAGACCCCTTGGGGGGTCAACACCTAGCAGACCCCTTGGGGGGTCAACACCTAGCAGACCCCTTGGGGGGTCAACACCTAGCAGACCCCTAGGGGGGTCAACACCTAGCAGACCCCTTGGGGGGTCAACACCTAGCAGACCCCTTGGGGGGTCAACACCTAGCAGACCCCTTGGGGGGTCCAACTGGAAATGAAAGGGACGGTTGTCATCACTGCAGCACGACAAAATGGCTGTGGTACTCGTTCAAGCACAGAGGCACACGGACCTGGTTGGATCGGGCAGTCTCAGAGAAGTAGCTGTTGTAAATGGCCAGCGGCGCCACCACAGCCAGCGCCAGGGACCCCCCCAGCGCCCACTGCAGCGCGCCCGCCTGCTGCAGCAGCTCCTCCTGCTGCTGCTGCGCCTGCTGCTCCACCCCCGCCACCACCTCCCTCAGCGGGCGCCCGTCCACCTGGCAGGCGGCGTCCTGCTGTGCCAGCTGTGCGTCCAGCTCCTCCCTCAGCTGCTGCGCCTCCCACACCAGGTGCGCGCTGCGCTGCGTGATGGCTGATGCCTCCTCTGACACCCGGTCCATTAACACCCTGTGGTGAGTGGGAATGGGATGGGATGGGATGGGATGAGATGGGATGGGATGGGGGTGGGGGCGGGGGTCGGGGCATGGGGTGGTGGATGGGGTGGAGAGTTTGGTGGGAATGTGGCATGATGGGCCTGTGTGGCATCCTGATCCCACCACACACATGGGTGAACACTCACACACACTCACACACACTCACACACACTCGCACACACTCGCACACACTCATACACACTCGCACACTCACTCAACAACCTCACACTCACTTGAGCAGCTCCAGAGGGTCCTCCACGCCCTCCATCTGCCCCTCCAGCTCACCCTCCGCTGCCACCGCTGCGCCCTGCACGCCCACCTCCCGCCGCACCCACTCCTCATTCCCCTCCGCACCCCCGCCCCCTCCACCTCCCACCTCCACCCCCACTGAACTCGCCACGCTCTGTGCCGCATCCGCCACCGCTGCCAGTGGCGCCAGCGCCGCGAGGGGATTGAGAGGGCCCAGAGGGCTGAGAGTGGCGAGGGAAGAGGCGTCCGTATCCAAAGAGAGGCTCCAGCTCCGCCCTGCTTCTTCTCCGTCTGTGCCATGCTCCTCCGAAAGTGCTGAGAGGGCCTCGCGCCGCCGCCCGTGCGCGTCCACCCAATCCAGCTCAGCTTTGAGCCGGGTGACGTGGCGCGCCATGGCTGCCAGCTGGACGGAGAAGGCGGCGGCCTGCGCCCGCAGCTCCTCGCCCTGCTGCTGTGCCGCCGGCAGGTGCACTGACAGGGCTGCTTCCCGCTGGGCTTGGGCCGCCTCGCTGTCCTTGAGATGCATTGCCTGGGGGGCGAGAAGCAGGCACATGGGGGGCGAGGAGAGGTAGTGTGGCGCGGAGGGGAGGCAGTGAGGGTGGCATCGCAATGGGCTGCTCTGCCAGCAGGCGGGAGGTTAGAGAAGCAGGTGGGCAGTGGCGCAAGAAGTGCGAAGTTGGGAGGGCGAGAGAGAGCAGGAAAGGAAAATTCGGAAAGAAGAGGCTCACCTCCAGCGACAAGCGGCTTACCTCCAGCGACAAGCGTCTTACCTCCAGCGACAAGCGGCTTACCTCCAGCGACAAGCGGCTTACCTCCAGCGACAAGCGGCTTACCTCCAGCGACAAGCGGCTTACCTCCAGCGACAAGCGGCTTACCTCCAGCGACAAGCGGCTGATAGCCTCAGCATTGGCAGCAACAGCAGCAGCAGCGTCGGCGTCCCGCCCCCGCAGGTGAACCACCTCGCTCTCCACCCGCTCCGCCCTGCGAGCGGCCTCAGCAGCCGTCATCTCAAGCGAGTTGAAGCGCCCACTCAGGAAGGTCACTCGCGCCGCTGCTGCACTCGCTCTCTGCTGTGCTGCTGCCGTGCGTGACACCAGCACTGCCATCTGAAGGACGGGAGACAGGGTAGAGGATGTAGTGACGGGGAGGGGAAGGATGGGGATGGGAGAGGAGGAGTGCAAAGTGGAGATGTGGATGTCCCACTTCAAACAGATCTCGTGGGAGAATGATGTTTGTTCGTAATATAATGCACAAAGATTTTTTCTCAAAACGTCCCTCCCCATCATCTCACCTGTGCCTCCAACGCCCCGGCACGGCTGTCAGCCTCGGTGCTAACCACCTCAGCCTGCTTCACGCGCTCTGCCAGCAGCCCCGCCTGCACCTGCAGCTCCTCTATTCTCTCCGCTGCCGCCCTCGCCGCCGCCTCCTTCCGCCCCGTCCGCACCACCGCCAGCTCCTGCACCACTGCCCTCCGCTCCTGCGCTGCCGTCCACGCCGCCGCCCGCGCCCGTGCTGCCCGCTCAACCTCCTCCCGCACTTTCTCGTTCGCCGCTGCTACTCTCTCCTCTGCCTCCTCTGCCACTGCTCGTTCATTCCTAAGCTGCCCCTTTGCCTCGTCAACCTGTGCCCGAAGCTCCCCAATTTCCTTCTCCACCTCAGCGTTCCTCTCCTCTCCCTCTGCCACCTTCAATTTCAGAGCTGAAATTTCCTCCTCCACCTCTCCCAACACGCGCACTTGCTGCACTCCCCCTGTCTGCTTCACTCTCAGCTGCTCCCGCATGGCTGTCTCTTTCACCTTAGCTGCCTCTAACTCCTCCTCCCAGAGGGCCTCTCTGCGTTTCAGCGCTTCGATCTCAGCCGTCCGTGACGCCACGTCAGCGAGGACCTGGCTGCTGGACGCCTCCAGCTCAGCAAGCCACTCACGTGCCTCCGCCAGCTGGGCGGAGAGGGATTCCACCCTGGCATTCGCTTCCTGGAGCTCAGGAGGGGCATCCGGCGCGAGAGAGGGAAGTTCCGTGCCCGTGGTAACATCATAACCGTTGCTTATGGCACTGCTGCCACCGTTGCTTGAATCACCGCTGCTGCTGCTGCTGCTGCTGCTGCTGCTGCTGTCACTGGCGTTGCTGGCGCCGTTGCTGCGCTGGTCTGGATCTGGCTTCGGTAACCAGGAAGCCGGGTCAAAAAGGCCCTTCAGGGGGTCTGCCGCACGCTCGCCCTGCTCCTCCTCTGCTGCTCGCTCCGCCAATGCTGCTGCTGCTACATCCGCCTCTTGTGCCTTGCTCCTCACTTGGTGCTCCGCAGACTGGAGCAAGGAATGCAGGTGGGGGGTGATGGGGATAGACGGAGTCAAGGAGAGACGATCAGACAAGGCATATTTGGGAGGAGGGAAAGATGGCAACTGCGGGACAAGCTTCTCCCATTGCAATGTGCCAACCTGACCTGAGGAACAGATGCGAGCTGAAAATCCACCTGACCAGAATAGCGTATCCAATCTGAGCAACAGAGAGCACCCACCTGAGCAACAGAGCAAACGCACCTGAGCAACAGAGCATACTCACTTGAGCAACAGAGCATACTCACCTGAGCAACAGAGCGGGCAAAGCTGACGTCAGCGAGGAGCCACTTGTCAAAGAGCTCCCGCGAGCACTGCTCTTGCGCTTGCTGTGATGGGGACGAGAGGGGGAGAGTTGGGGGGCGAGCAGACATGAGGGGGACGGGCAGGTGTGTAAGGGCACACACCACAGGAGCGGGGATAGCAGACGTGAGGGGGGAGAGGAGGGGAGCGAGCAGGTGTAAGGAGGGATAGGATCCATGAAGCAGCAGACGGTGCAACGGTTGTGCTGGTGCCCGTGGGACCGGTGATGGCAGTGATGGGGGTGATGGCGGTGATGGCGGTGATGGGAAGGGGGTGATGGGGGTGATGCGGGTGATGGGGGTGATGGAGGTGATGGGGGTGATGGGGGTGATGGTGGTGATGGCGGTGATGGGGGTGATGGGGCTGATGGGGGTGATGGGGGTGATGGGGGTGATGGGATGATGGGGGTGATGGGGGTGATGGGATGATGGGGGTGATGGGGGTGATAGGATGATGCGGGTGATGGGGGTGGTGGTATGGTGAGGATGGTGGGTTCGCGCATACAGCCAGCCATGGGGACAACACGGCACGGCATGACATGGCAGGGCATGGCATGACAAGGCAGGGCATGGCATGACAAGGCAGGGCATGGCATGACAGGGCAGGGCATGGCATGACAAGGCAGGGCATGGCATGACAAGGCAGGGCAAGGCATGACATGGCAGGGCAAGGCATGACAAGGCAGGGCATGGCATGACAAGGCAGGGCATGGCATGACAAGGCAGGGCATGGCATGACAAGGCAGGGCATGGCATGACAAGGCAGGGCAGGGCATGACAAGGCAGGGCATGGCATGACAGGGCAGGGCATGGCATGACAAGGCAGGGCATGGCATGACAAGGCAGGGCATGGCATGACAGGGCAGGGCATGGCATGACAAGGCAGGGCATGGCATGACAAGGCAGGGCAGGGCATGACAAGGCAGGGCATGGCATGACAGGGCAGGGCATGGCATGACAAGGCAGGGCATGGCATGACAAGGCAGGGCATGGCATGACAGGGCAGGGCATGGCATGACAAGGCAGGGCATGACATGACAAGGCAGGGCATGGCATGACAAGGCAGGGCAGGGCATGACAAGGCAGGGCAGGGCATGACAAGGCAGGGCATGGCATGACATGGCAGGGCATGGCATGACAGGGCAGGGCATGAGAGGGCGAGGAAGCGGAGCCAGGGAGAGCAACGCACGACCCAGTCGGACTGGGAGTCGCCGTGCTGCCCCGTGGTGCACCGCGTGTGGTAGATGGCCTCGGCGATCGTTATCACCCGCGACGTCATTCCCGCTAGCAGCCTCTCGCGCGCCTGGCGGGTGCAGGCAGGCAGACAGGCGGAGAGGGAGCAAGGGTGGAAGGGAGAAGGGGGGCGGGGAAGGGGAGAATGTGATTTGGCCTGGCATGCATAGCGACTGATGGGAGAGATGCATGCAGGGAGGGAGGGAGGGCGCGCATGGGGGTGGCGTGTTTTGCTTTGGTTGACTGGACATGGAAGGGGGGAGCGGGGGAGGGTGGGCTTACCTCCATGAGCACGTTGACAGGCGGGTCGGCGTTGGGCTTGCTCTCCTTCACCACCGCCAGTGCTGCGCTCACTGGCATGCCCTTGGCCAGCACCAGATACCTGCCACGCACGTTACAGTGCACGGGACCCAACGTGACAACAACACGTTAGAAGCAAGAGTAACAATTGAGGATGAGAGCGAGCGAGTGAACGAGAGTGAGTGAGTGAGGCATCGACACAGCAGAGGCAGGTGCGGTGGAGAGAGAGTGAGAGGACCATTCGAGAGGACTGCGGACCCACCCGAGGGCGATGAGGGGGGAGAGGCGGGCAGCTGAGGGGCAGCGCAGCAGCACCCTGTGGCCCATGGCGGCCAGGGCTGCCACCACGCGCACTGCCTGCGGTAGCATGGCTGCCTGCACGGTGAGAGGCGGGAGGGAATGGGTTTGCAATGCAAGTGAGGGTGTGGTGTGTGAGAAGGGAGGGCGGCGGGGGGGCAGCGCAGCAGCATGGAGTGGTGCAGGGCGGCCAGGGCCGTCGGCACGCGCACTGCCTGCGGTAGCATGGCTGCCTGCACGGTGAGAGGCGGGAGGGAATGGGTTTGCAATGCAAGTGAGGGTGTGGTGTGTGAGAAGGGAGGGCGGCGGGGGGGCAGCGCAGCAGCATGGAGTGGTGCAGGGCGGCCAGGGCCGTCGGCACGCGCACTGCCTGTGGTAGCATGGCTGCCTGCATGGTGGGAGGTGGCGTGGCACGCAGTGGAGATGAGTGAGGGGACAAGATGAGTACGGCATGAGAGGGCGATTGTACTTACCCCACTCGTCACCCGACGAGCGTTTCTCCTGGTAAGCCATGACTCTCGTACGTCCCACCTCCCATATGCTCCCACATTCCAAGCTGCTGGCACAGGCATCTCATGAGACTAAATTTTCCCAGCGATTCCATCTCCGTTCGAACCACACAACCACGCTGCCACACGGCCACCGGCTACCCCCCCCCGTCCCACCTGCTCCGCGGAGTCGGTTTCGCGAATGGGCACCCACACGGCCACCAGCCCCGCGTCCTGCAGCGCCCGCTTCTCCTCCTCCCACCCCGTGCCCCGCGCGCCATAGCTCCCCTCCTCCTGCACACACACACACGCACAGTTACACACACGAATCACGTGAAAAGCAACCGGCGAGAATCAGCCCTAGCTTGACGTTAGTTGCCACGCTGTCGCTCAACGCAGCTACCAACGAGAATCCGACGAGCGCGCACCTCGAGAACGACAACGGCGGTGATGCGCGCGTCCCTCGCGAGCGCAGCCACGGCGGCGGCGCTGCTGCTGACGGCCAGCGACCCCACCGCCACCTCATCCGTCACCGCCGCCCACGCCGACGCGGGTAACGCGCTCCCTGCCGTTCATTCGTACCAGGGACGTGAAACACGCGGGCGTTTAGGTTACGGCACGAGTAGCACGCGGCGCATAAGAAACGGGGAGCGTTCCGTCGTACAAAATTCGAAGCTCGATGCTTTCTATTTTATTTTCCGTTTTCTGCATAATTTCGAACGGAGAGTGCACCTAACCCGAACGTTGCGTTGAGCTGTGTGCCTGCGTGCTTACTCGGTTGCGCGTCGCGGACAGCGCCGTTTGCGACGTCGGCGGAGACGGCGGAACCGACAGCGACCACCTGCGATGTCCATCAACGCAACGGCTAAGATACACTGTCAGACCAGCGCGAAACCGAATGCCTTTGAAAGAATGATTGCAGCACCAAAAATCATTTTCTACAACTAAAAATGCCTGTTACGAGTGAAGCCGTTATCATTCAGTGAGGTATTACCTGGAGCCTGGTGCTGCTAGCGGGCGTTCTTCTGAAGGGAGGGCGGGAAGGCGGGGGAAGCGGAGGAGGCTTGGAATTTGTGCAACGAGTGCGTCAAGCTTGAATTTTGAGCGAGCAGGTAAGGAATTGCAGTCAAGCTTTTCACGCTTGAATGGATTGCAAGGAGTGCTGCACGGTGCTGCACGCAGGCGGAGAGTGCTTGCTTGCATGAGGGCTGCACACCTGGTAGTGAGCCGTCGACGGGTCAACGCCGGGAATACGCTCCGCCTGGCGGAATGCGACGGCCGCGGCGCTTTCGCTAGGGACTGCGGTACAGCTGGAACCGCGCTGCCTCGTATTGGCTCCGACGGACGGGCTAACGAACTATACCGCGACGACTGCGGGTGCATATTGTCGGTCGGTATGCGAGGAGAGGAGAGTCCTTGCCGTAGGACGCCCGCCATTGCGAGGAAACTGCAAATGCGCACCGATAAGGCCGAGACGTAGGCAGCTAGGAGAAGCACACCAGTGAAGTTTCTTTCTCCGCCAGCTGATCAAGCTCAGCCTCGGACCAGGTGCAAATCCTCCCAACGGCAGCTCCCACTTGTAAAGGTTCCAGAGACACCCCAAACAAAAGCACTTTATCTTGAGCGCCTGACCAACTCACATGCATGAGTTTTGTGCCACACAAATCACTTTCTGGAGAGCCGAGGGAGAGCAACCATGGCGGGAGGGACAATCCCTAGGGCTTGAAGGTCAGCCCTGTGTGTCCTGGTGCATCGTGCTTTTGCTGCGTCACTCTTGCGTGTCGCGGCTGTCGCTCCCGCTTCGTTCTGGTGAAGGTGCAATTCGCACAACCTTCGCGACAGTTCTTCTTTTCGCAATCCACAACATCCCTAGTGCCCGATGTGCCAACGGGGAATTGTGCGGCGGAGGCTCCAGAAACCCTTGATTTCGCTTTCGCCATTCTGTGGTTTGCTCTGGCTAGACGAAGTGATGCGAAAGAGGCTTAGGTGGTGGGCGATTGCTGTGAGCTGTCCTCTGTATCAGCTAATTGTGTGGCCTGGTACGTGGATGCTATGCCACGTGTACCGAAAAGGTAAAGATCCTGTGAACTGGGAAAAGAAGGCCGTTGGCGAGAGGTTACCCGTCGGGGCACACGAGGAAAGCTGGCGAAGAAAGCGAGAGAAACATGATTTGGGACTCAGAACTTCTGGCGCGTGGATTTTGGTCCCTCCCTTCCCGCCCTTCACCTTCAATATTCACACGGTATGGCATCACATATTCCCCCTAGCCCACTTTTCCGCCAAGATTAATCCTCGGATCTTTTGAATCTTCCTCAGTCCGGAGTCTTGACCTGACACACTCCAGCTGCGGCTTGTTCTGATGCAAGCCAACGTTGCTGGTGCTGTCTAGTGTCACTTAATCGCCAAATTTTACCTCCGGATCGTAGTCCTGTCGCGCGGCATTCCTATCGGCACGTTGGTTCCGGCGCTTAGAACGCCATGGCTCAGCTTATGCGTCCAGCGTCAATGTCACGCGCGAGCGTGTCAGATCTATCCTGCAGAAACCTGGAAGCGAGATTAGAGCCGAGCGCTGCTGCCATTAGACGACATGAACCGTACGGCTCGTTTCCTCGACCTCGTACCTTCCGGTTCCCCACTCCGATCAGCAGAAGAGCGTTATCCGTCAGAAGTGCCGCGGATTCAAGGTAGCGCTGAATCTAGGGTTTTGCCTTATGGTCCATTTGGTCAACCAGCCTTTGCAGATCTAGATCTGCTTCGATCGGACCGCTTTGACAACGACTACGAGACCGCATTCCTCATCACTCATTCATTATCCTTTAATTCTCTGTATGCTTGACCTTTTGTCCATTTCTCCCGGTTTCTCTCCCACGCAGCCAGTCGGCCAACGAAATGGATGGAATCAAAGTAAGGATCTGCTGTTCAATGCAATCTAGCAGCGTCGCATTGTCGATTCCATGCAGCACCGCTTACGTCCACCCAATACGAGTCTGGGTAATAGTCGCTTAACAATCTGTAACCACTTTGCAGGTGTCGCCGAACGCGTCGGGGAAGGCTTCAGGAGGCGACATGATGAAACTCTTCAACGACGCGCAACAGAGTAGGTCCCACACCAACAGATCGCCCTGCTGCCAAGTAAATCGTGGCCATTAAATTCGTTAAACACGCTCCGCGCGCGGCTCTGACGCAGTGATAAATTCCTGATAGCCAGTGCAGTGTGTGCTGTTCCCGCGTCGCTCCAACTTACCAGAACTTTTCGGATCTATGCTTCCGTCAATGTGCATTCGCCTCCTCCTCTCCCTCATCCCGATCCCCCTCCGCAACGCATGCTGCACCTCATCTCTCCCCCCCACACACCCGACATGCTGTACCTGAACAAGCAGCACAACTATAGCTTTTGAAACGTCTCCCCCTTCCCATCCCGTCTCCATTCCCCCCTTTACGCTCGTCCCCTTTCCCCCCCTCCCCCAGACATGCTGTACCTGAACAAGCAGCGCCTCATCGCGCTGGACGAGCTGCACAAGGCGGAGGCGGAGCGCGAGTACCTGGCGGCGCGCGTCGCGCAACTGCAGGCGGAGGCGGAGGCGGGGGAGGCGCAGCGCAAGCTGCTGGAGGAGCGCCTGAGAGCCGCGGAGCTGGGGGTCGCCGCAGGTGAGGGCTGGGAGGGCCGGGGTCTGCGCTGATTGAGCAAACCTTCGAGTGGAATCTCGATGGAGAGTCTGCGCACAAGGGTAGAGCCGAGGGTTCTGCTGGCGGAGAGGCTACGGGTAGCGCGCGTAGGGATCGGCGCACAGGTGAAGCGTAGTGAAGCGTTGAAAGGTAGCGAGGTGGTGCGCGTGCCGTTCCTATCTGTTGCCTCACCCCTTATCCTGCAACCCCCTCCCCTCCCAACCCCCACACCCCCACCCTCAACCCCACCCAACCCCTAACCTCTTGCTGCCTGCCCCCACCCGTTCGGCAGCGAGCAGCAAAGCGTGCAGCAAGGCGGGCGGCAGGGCGGGTGGCAGGGCGGGGGAACCGGCGTCCGTGTGGAGCCGCCTGCTGCTGCGCGTGGACGGACTGTTGCTCGCCAAGGCGCTCACCGCTTGTCCTTGCCAACCCACGCCCCACCCCCTCCCCCCACCCAACCCACCCCACCCCCCTTGCTGTCTGCAGCACCCAGCAGCCCCACGCGTTCAGTAACTACCGCTCCGGGCAGCAAAGCGAGCGGCAAGGCGGGCGGCAGGGCGGGGGAGCCGGCGTCCGTGTGGAGCCGCCTGCTGCTGCGCGTGGACGGGCTGCTGCTCGCCAAGGCGCTCACCGCCCCGCAGGCGCAGGCGCTAAGAGGGCTCGCTGCCTCTAGGGATGCCCGCGCTGCTGACGTGTACGCTGACGTGGAGCCGCTGGAGGACGCGCAGGTGGTGCGCGCGCTGCTGCGACTCATTGATGGCAGCAACAGGTTCGGGGGAAAGGTTAGGTAGGGGAGGTTGAAGGGGAAAGGGGGGGAGGAGGGGGTGGGGAAGAGGTGAGGAGAATGGAAGGAAATGTCGGGGGAGACAGTGGGGGGAAGGAGCTGAGAAATGGGTAGAGAGGGTGCGAGGGTGGTGAGTGAGTGTCAAGGCGATTTTGACTGCATTGGAACGTTTGCTCATGGTGGCAACGACCAACCCCACTTCCCTCCCTTCCCATCTCTAATACACTCAAGCTCGCATCGTCCACCCCATCTGTTTCCCATGTGCCTCCCTCTCTCACCTTCCCATTTGCGCCCCTCCCCCCTCCAACTCCCCACCCTCACACAGGACACTGCACGTGGTGCACGTGTGCACGGAGCTCGCGCCAGTGGCCCAGGCGGGGTCCCTAGCCACGTGGATGGCGGGGCTGTGCCGCGCACTCCGCAAGAAGGGCCACCTCGTGGAGGTCGTTCTGCCACTGTAAGCTGCGTTTGTTGAGCGGCTCTTCTTCCTTTTTGTTGAATGCGGCAACCTGCTGTGCCGTTTTTATCCTGTTGTGCCATCACCCACTGCTCCCCTCCGCACTCGTTTCCCCTTGTTGCTAGCAACCCCGCATCCATCCTCGTGTGCAACCTGCACTGCCATTGCATCATTGAGGGAGGCGTTCGGAAGTGTGCTGAAAATCACCCCCCCTCTCGCCCCACACACTCACGCCATCTCCGCCCGCCATGCTACCCGGCAGGTACTCAAGCGTGGACACGAGTGCCATTGAGGACTTCAGGGAGGCGCCAGGCGAGATCATGTCCTTCTTCGATAACAAGTGGCACAAGAATAAGATCTACACCGGGTGAGTGGCACGCTTGTGGCTGGCAGTGTGTGCTGGTGTCAATCTATTCAGATCTAGTGGGCTTACATCTGTATGTGCTTGACACTTAGTTGTGCCATAACACCGTTGCCTGCACTGCTGCCATTGCTGTCTCGTTCTTGTGCTCTACTAACTCTCCTCCCTGATTGCTCGTATTGCCTTCGTGCCTGCCTACCTGCGTACCTGTCTCTCTGTCCGCCTGCCTGCCCGCCTTCCTGCCTGCTTGCTTTGCCTTACCCCCCCCTCACAGCACGGTGCACGGGCTGCCAGTGACGTTCATCCACCCGCTGCACCCAGCGGCCTTCTTCCAGAGGGACCACCTCTACGACTATGAGGACGACTTTGAGCGGTGAGCCATGCACGCACCACACAAACGTTGACCTGTGAGGGTGACTCTGAGCGGTCAGCACTGCACCACACGAGCTCTTCATGCGGTCCTTCAAGTGGGTTTGAGCGTTAGCACTGGACTGTGTGCAGCAGGGCTTACAAAGACGGTCTGAGCTGCTTTTCCCATGCTCTCCCTGCTTCTCCACCTCCGCGCCCCTTCCCCATTGCCTCTCCCCTTGGGTCCTCTTCCCCTCAGCTTCACCTACTTCACGCGGGCAGCGCTGGAGTACGTGCAGCAGCAGGGCAAGCAGCCGGACGTGCTGCACCTGCACAACTGGCACACGGCAGTGGGCGCACCGCTGTTCTGGGACATCTACCACCACCAGGGCATGCCCGATACCCGCATCCTCTTCACCTGCCATGACGCCCGCTTCCAGGTATTGCCTGCTTGCTTGCACGTATCGCCTGCTGCAAAGCAATGCTCCTCGCTGCGCTCATGAGGTTGTTTGCTCGCCTACACTAGAAGTTTTCTCCCTCGCCCCCCCTTTCTTGCACATCCAGGCCCTGCAACCAAAGGCACAGCCCGCAGCCTCCTGCCTGTCCTGCCGCATGACGACGCCTTCCAGTTGAGCCGACTTGCCTCTTGCTCTCACTCCCCACCTCCTCACATCCCCCATCCCCCACTCCCCACCTCCTCACATCCCCCATCCTCACTCCCTTTCCCCCACTCCCCACCCCCCACTCCCCACCTCCTCACACCCCCCATCCTCATTTCCTTGCCATCCTCCCTTTGCTCTCTCTCCCTCACCCTTTACAGAACGCCCAGCCAGCAGGCAAGCTGGCGCAGGTGGGGCTGGACCCGTCGCAGCTGAACCGCCCTGATAGACTGCAGGACAACCGCGACCCGGCTCTTGTGAACCTGCTCAAGGTGCGCTCTGCTCCTCTCACATGCATCAGTATCTGCCTGCTCATGGTGCCGTGCCATGCTGGGCCGTGCACATTGGATGCAGACCGTTTGAGTCAGGTGCACATAATGCTGCCACATGAAAGTCTGTTGCACTGCTCCCCGTTTCACCAAGGTGCTCCCTGCAACGTGCCATGCTTTGACCTGCCCGCCAGTTCTTTTGCGTCCCTCCTCCTCCCCGCGTGCAACATCCCGCCCTTCCTCCTCTCTGCTGCACCTCCACTCCACCCCCTCTCTCTCCCTCCCACCCTCTACGCCCACCACAGGGTGGCATCGTGTATTCCAACAAGGTAACAACGGTGTCGCCCACGTATGCCAATGACATGAAGACCCGTGAGCTCGGTTGCGGCCTCGATGCCACCGTCACCATCCACAGGTGGGTGCCACCGTCGCCATCCACAGGTGGGTGCCACCGTCGCCATCCACAGGTGGGTGCCACCGTCGCCATCCACAGGTGGGTGCCACCGTCGCCATCCACAGGTGGGTGCCACCGTCGCCATCCACAGGTGGGTGCCCACTCTACCCCGCCACTGCAGCCAGACCGCGCCTCCTTCACGACAGATTCTCCTTGCAGCTTGATCCCGTCACTGCTCCAATCTTGGGCCCGCCTGCTCTGCTCTCTGCCATCACTGCCAATATCCCTTTCCCTACCAGGACCCCAACACGAGGCATGCAAATTAACTCTGCGTTCCCTGCCTCCGCCCGTGTAACCATCCACTTCCTCCAACCCGCAGCCAGAAGTTCGCTGGTTTGCCCTCCGGACTCGACCAATCCACGTGGGACCCAACCCGCGACCTCGCACTCCCCGTGCCAATCACAGCCTCTGATCCCATGCCTGGCAAGGCAGTGGCTCGGGCGGAGGTTCGGAAGAGGCTCGGGTTGCCAGTGATAGACTCGGCATCGGGGTTGGAGCGCGCAGTGGTGGCGTACGTGTCGCCGCAGATAGGGGAAGCTGATGTGGAGCTCATTAAGGGGGCGCTCGCATGCTCCCTAGCCTACCAGGCCCAGGTGGGTGGAAGGGGGGGTTTGACCTGCTCAGATGGGTCGGGGCGTGGTGAGGCAGTGGTGGCGTATGTGTCGCCGCAGATAGGCGAGGCACATGTGGAGCTCATCAAGGGGGCGCTCTCGTGCTCCCTCGCCTACCAGGCCCAGGTGCGTCACGGGGGTTTCACATGCCCAGGTTGGTCATGACGCTTTCCCTTTCTTCTTCCTTTGCCCTGTCCCATACTGCCCTCCGTCCGCTACTCTCTGTCCTCCTCTCATCTCGGCGGCAGATCTCTCACTCGCCCATCTCTCCACCTTCCCTCTCCCCACCCCTCTGTGCAGTTTGTGCTGGTGGGGGCAGCACGGTCGCCCAAGGTGCAGATGGCCCTCGAGGAACTGCAGAGGGTGCAGCAGGTGAGGCGATGGGTGCAGAGCGGTGCAGCAGGTGAGGTGATGGGTGCAGAGGGTGCAGCAGGTGAGGTGGTGGGTGCAGAGGGTGCAGCAGGTGAGGCGATGGGTGCAGATTGGTGCAGCAGGTGATGGGTGCAAAGGAGAGCTAGGAAAAATGTACATGCTTTGAGAGGGGGCACAGGGAGAGCTGCAAAGCATTGAGCAGGGTAGACCATGCGTCAAGCAGGTGTGCTGGGAGGTGTGTCAGTCCGTGCCGTCTCTCTCTCCCCCTCGCTGCCTGCCAACCAGCGGGACGGTGATTCACGCCTGTAGATTGTGTGCAAGGAGAGGACCCCCTCGCACTTCTGGGTGACCTGAGTCGACTCAAATCTCTCTCTATCTCCCCCCACCAACCACCCATCAGGACCGCAATGCACACCTGGAGATCGTGTACGAGGATGATTTGGCACATCTGGTGGTGGCGGCGGCACACGTGCTACTCTGCCCGCCCCTCCGCGACCCCTCCTCACACTTGCCGGTCAGTGCCCTCCCGGATGCCTTTCAGTGCCCTCACGTGTACCTTTCAGTGCGAGCTTGGATTGCCGCAAGGATGCTTTCTCTAACAGCTTAACAGCCTAACAGCCTTACAGTGTAACAGTGTAACAGCCTTATAGCCTAACAGCCTTACAGCCTAACAGCCTAACAGCCCAACAGCCTTACAGCCTAACAGCCTTACAGCCTAACAGCCTAACAGCCTTACAGCCTAACAGCCTTACAGCCTAACAGCCTTACAGCCTAGCAGCGTAACAGCCTAACAGCGTAACAATGTAACAGCGTAACAGCCTAACAGCCTAACAGCGTAACAGCCTAACAATAGCAGCGAAACAGCCTAACAGCCTAACATTGTAACAGCGTAACAACATAACAGCCTAACAGCCTAACACCATAACACCGTAACAGCCTAATAGCCTTACAACCTAACAGAGTAACAGCCTAATAGCTTAACAGCCTAACATCGTAACAGCCTAACAGTGTAACAGCGTAACAGCATAACAGCCTAACATCCTAATAGGGTAACAGCGTAACAGCGTAATAGCGTAATAGCCTAACTGCCTAACTGCCTAACAACCTAACAGCCTAACAGCCTAACAGCGTAACAGCGTAACAGACTAACAGCCTAACAGCGTTACAGCGTAACAACGTAACAGCCACAGCTTAACAGCGAAACAGCCTAACAGCGTCATAGAGTAACAGCCTAACAGCGTAACAGCCTAACAGCATAACAGCCTAACAGTCTTACAGCCTTACAGCCTAACAGCCTAACAGCCTTACAGCCTAACAGCTTAACAGCCTAACAGCGTAACAGCCTAACAACCTAACAGCGTAACAGCCTAACAGCCAAACAGCATAACAGCGTAACAGCTTAACAACCTTACAACCCAACAGCATAACAGCCTAACAGCCTAGCAGCCTAACATTGTACCAGTGTAACAGCCTAACAGCGTAACAGCATAACAGCGTAACAGCCTAACAGCGTAACAGCGTAACAGCGTAGTAGCGTAATAGCGTAATAGCCTAACTGCGTAACTGCCTAACAGCCTAACAACCTAACAGCCTAACAACCTAGCAGCGTAACAGCGTAACAGCGTAACAGCCTAACAGCCTAACAGCCTAACAGCCTAGCAGCGTAACAGCCTAACAGTGTAACAGTCTAACAGCGTAACAGCGAAACAGCGTAACAACGTAACAGCCTAACAGCGAAACAGCGTAACGACGTAACAGCCTAACAGCGTAACATCCTAATAGCGTAACAGTGTAACAGCCTAACAACGTAACAGCCTAATAGCCTAACAGCCTAATAGCCTAACAGCGTAACAGCCTGACAGCCTAACAGCGTAATAGCCTAACAGGGTAACAGCTTAACAGCGTAACAGCCTAACAGCGTACAGCCTAAAAGCCTAACAGCGTAACAGCCTGACAGCATAACAGCCTAACAGCGTAACAGCCTTACTGCCTTACAGCGTAACAGCGTAACAGCCTAACAGTGTAACAGCCTAACAGCGTAACAGTCTAACAGCGTAACAGCCTAACAAAGTAACAGCCTAATAGCCTAACAGCCTAACAGCGTAACAGCCTAACAGCCTAACAGCATAACAGCCTAACAGCATAACAGCGTAACACCCTAGCAACGTAACAGCATGCGCCCCTGCGACCCCCAGCTGGATCATCTCGGATAATCTTTTTAGAAGGAGCAGGGCAGGAGAGGAGGAAAGGTGACTTGCTTGAAGAGAGCCGCCTTCCCCCGCCACCTTCACTGCTAGATCATCTCGGATAACCTGCTTGGGTGGAGAGGGGGGAGTGGGGTAAGCGGAGGAGGGAAATTGAAGCAAGCTGCCTTCCTCACCACCCTCAGCATGCGCCCCTGCAACCCCCAATGCTATGTCATCTCAGATAACCTGCTTTGGTGGCATGGTGGTGGTGCGATTCGCCTGCCGTGTGCCATGCTTGTTGCATTCTCCATTCTCCCCATCCCACTCACCCTCCGTCCCTCCCCAAACCCGTGTTCTGCACCGCAGCTGGTAGGCGCTCGCTACGGGGCCGTGCCTGTGGCCCGCCATACTTGTTGCGATCTCCATTCCCCTTATCCCCCTTTCCCTCCATTCCTCCCCACCTGTGTTCTGCACTGCGCTCTCCATTCCCCCCATCCCACTCGCCCTCCGTTCTTCCCCATACCCCTGTTCTGCACCGCAGCTGGTGGGGGCGCGCTACGGCGCCGTGCCTGTGGCCCGTCAGCTAATGGGATCACCTGACAGGTCAGTCACATGGGCATGCACCGTACAGCTGGCAGGGCACATTGGATTGTTCAACTGACACTGGCGGCTGATTTGTGGGATTATCTTTTAAGTTTGTCGACACAACAATGGTTCCAATCTCTATGCATCGTTGCATGCTGCCTTGCCTTGTCCCTCGCCTCTCTTCCCCCTCTCACTGCCTGAATCTCTTAGTAGACTCTCTTCTCTCTGACCAGTGCACGTCAATTCAGCATCTCGTATATCTCTCTCCCACTCCCCCCCCCACCAGCTAAGTGGACGTGGGTGACGCTCGCCGTGGCGCTTTGGAGGGAGCGGGTTTCTTTTACTGCCTTACTTCCCCTTCTCACTGCCCTGCTCGGCCAGCTTGTCGTAACCAGTGCACAACGAATCAACAAGTCTCCCTCCTCCCCCACCCACACCAGCCTAGTGGACGTGGATGACCCGCGCCGCGGTGCCTCGGAGGGAGCGGGTTTCTTCTATGCCTCCGACAAGCCGGCTGACGCTGTCATCGCTCTCACTCGTGCCCTCAAGCTCCTTGTGAGTGCTGCTGCCACGCGGCAAGTGCCATTATTCTTTCACTTGCAGCTGTGCCTTGATTATGCATCATAGTTGCATACTTGTTAGCAGATCAACTAACCGCCTGTGCTCATTTGTGAACTTGTGCCTACTTGTCACATCTCTCCTCATGCTGTGCAGAAGGCGGATCCGCAACGGTGGGAAGCAATCACCAAGACAGCAATGTCAGTGGATACCAGCTGGGATGCCCGTAGCTCTGATGCATATGTAGATGCGTATCTGTCCATCAGGCGTTGCTAGTGGAATCGTGTCGAAAGTGTACCATATATCTAGCTTTAGTATGAGGCTCAACCTAGGAGGGCTAGTTAGGGATGTGATTGTCGGTTTGTTGCTGGTTGCCAAGTATGGCCCTTAATGTAGTGAATCATATGTCGTGTGTGTGATGTGAAGATAACATACAGGTTTTCGGTGTAGATATGTTAGAACAGGTTTAGCAAGTTATGCTTATATTGTGGATGCTGTCCCACTCAGACAAATCTTGAAATATCGTCGTCCAAAGGTTTGAAGTCAGCTGATCCGTCTGAGGGAGTCGCGTTTCCGCTTAGTTGACTCGTGTACAGCAGATTAGTGACAGGAAGTGTCTCGTTGCGAGGTGCCGCTCTGCTGTCTCGTTATCATTTTGAGCACTCGTTGATTTGATAGTAGTCGTCGTGGCGCCTCTGCTGCTATGGTATGGACTGGTCGCCGCATGGCCCTTCGCCGCTTCGCCCTGAATTGTAATCATCACCAGACGCCATTCATTATCTTGTTGCTGGTTCCGCGCAGATCCGGTTCATTCTCCTCCAGAATCGGCAGGGAAAGACGCGCCTGGCGAAGTATTATGTTCCACTAGAGGACTCGGAGAAGCACAAGCTCGAATTCGAGGTACGCCTCTTTTTTTTTAGTACCAAGTAGCTCAGTAGATGCGATACGGCTAGTGCCGGCTGGACGTGTTGAGATTCCAGTGTCCCAACCCGAACAGTAGGGCGAGAGCAGCATTGCAGTGTGACCCTTCACCCTTGTGTTTGCATGTGTCACCTTTAGCTCCCTCCTCCTTCCCTGCTCCTGTTATTCCCACCGTACCTGCGCGTCTTCCCTGCGCCAGGTTCACCGGCTGGTGGTTCATCGCGAACCCAAATTCACAAACTTTGTCGAGGTACGCTTGCTGCTGCTCTGCTGGCATGTATGCTCTTTTGTTTCCGTTGTGAACCTGTACCGCGTGAATCAGCAGAGGCGCATGTTTCGCCCCTCCCATTGATGCCATTCCACTCCATCTCCCAAAAAATCTAATACATTCCCTGCGAGTCTCCTCAGTTCCGCACGTACAAGGTGATCTACCGGCGCTATGCAGGCCTCTTCTTCTCCCTCTGCGTTGACCTCACGGACAACGAGCTGGCTTACCTCGAGAGCATCCATCTCTTTGTGGAGATCCTAGATCACTTCTTCAGCAACGTCTGCGAGCTTGACCTCGTCTTTAATTTCCACAAGGTAGGATTCTTTCGGATTGAGGCCGGAAAGCTCTGTCTGTATTTCCTGTCATCTCATTGCTCTGCTGCTATTTCTAACAACCATATTTCTTCTCGTGGGTGGCGTTTGTGGCTTGCATGTAGGTTTACCTTATCCTCGATGAGTTTGTGCTTGCGGGCGAGCTTCAAGAAACAAGCAAAAAGGTGTGCCATGTTGCGTCATGTTTGGAGTTCTTTTGACTTTTCACTAGTTTCGTACTGTTGCTGTCTGCTTTCACTTCCAAACAGCTCTTCCCTATTCCAATATGTGTTATTTTGCTTTGCGCACTGTTGCTGCAGGTTATTATTGAAAGGATGGCAGAACTGGAGAAGGCAGAGTAAAGGTAGATCTTAAAAAAAAATTGGTCAAAACAGCCAGGAAAACACTCACTTGTATCTATCCAACCGCTCGTCATGGCATGAAACAACACCGCACCGCATCTTCAAGTAGTTTTATTCGTCCAACTTGGAATGCTTCACATGGATTGCTGACTGCAGAGCAGATAATTTGTAAAAATTTAGGGTGGGGTACGGAATGGCAGTCCTACAATTCGTGTTAAAAAGGGGTGCTCACCCAGGACATTAAAAACCCATGTTGATGAACACCCAGGTCTGCAGATGGCAGCCAGGAGGATGATTGGAGAGTTGTTACCGTATGTCACGGTACGTAAGTAGGTGTTTTGGACTTAGGCTTAGGATGGCGTGAGAGAATAGGCAAAAGAGGATTGGACTATAGAGGGGAACAAACAAGTAGAAGCACAGCACAGCAACAGAGTGTGCACCACCAAGTATGTAACCACATTACACCTAGCAGCAAGCAGGGTAGATGTAACTTTAACAGTAGGGTTTGATATAATACGGTAGCTGACGGTTGCGCGATATGATGTAAATTGCCCATGCACTGATAGAATATGATGACATCAGCCTTTAATAAAGGTGCTGATGGTGGGTGCAAGGCGCCCTTCTGATTGTACTGGTATATATAAATGGAATTTTAATTCTTCGTACAGCACCACAATCACGTCCTTTAATCCTTCTATCGAAGATTGCGCTACCTACTGGTCCATCTCGGGATCTGCCCCCAACCCACATATTTCAAGTTTCACCTACTCTTTGACGAATCGCTTCGAATTTGATTGGCCACAAGAGGTGCGTCCACCCCATCTCCTTGCTGAATCGCGCCTGCATGACGCTTTCCGCAACCCTGCATTGTGCACCAGACCCCCCCAACCGGCTCCGCCCTAGATTGGGGCTGGGGGCCTGGGGCCACACGCCCGGCCCTTTTTGGCCACGTCATCTGCCAGGCCTCATTGGTGTTGTCGCGACGGTCAGCGCCCCCTCAAATTGGTCGTGTCGTGACCCCCGACAGCCTCGAAATTGGCTGGACTGGTCTGGGCTGGCTGGGAGAGCTGGTTGGCACGAAGCCGAGGTCCGGAACCTGTTTACGGACTGTAGAGTCTGGTCTGGACTCTAGGCTCGGAGGAAAACCCTCCTCTGTACAACACAGGATTTTGGTTTGGGTGACTGGTTGGTGTCACCAACTTGGCGGGGATTCCGCTTGTCGAGGACTCGAGGCCCATTGAGAGTTGCGCGAGTTGAGTTGGTGGACGAGAGTGAACTGAACAGCGCCACGGGCAGACTCATATGGTTCTGCTCTGCTCTGTTGCTCTGCTGGGCTCCACGTCGTTCTGCTGTGCTCCCTGTGGTGTTTTAGCTGTCAATTCCGAGATAAGCAGACAGAAATGACTTCCGTACGTTGTACGTTCGATTCGATGCCCTCGCCTCGCGTCGCTTCGGCAGTGCTCACACACCACAAAGCATTCCCAATGGAATGGTTGAGCGCCAGTCACGCTGGTTCTAGTTGACTTTTTTATTGTTGAGGCAAGAGGGCTAGCAGATAGGCTTGTCGCTGCGGTGCTCATACAACCTGGCCAGTTCTGTTTAGATCCTTTCATTCTTCTCCACCACCACGACATTGAATCCAGATCGGGCTATGCGTAAATGCAGCTTATTAGGGAAACTTAGGACACGCTTAATTCTTTTAGTTGCTGGTTTAGACGGAAGTTATGAAGCGGCTCTTGTGCCGTGCCACAGAGTCAACAGCGTACCCGGCAAGGAAGAAACACCAGGTAACCAGGATTTCCAGTGGTAACCAACAGCGACAAAGTAATAGCGTTCCTGCGGGGACATCGCAGGCTTCTGACTCGCTAATAGCCTTTCGCCCGTCTTCGCCTAGAACGGTTCTCTCGGCTGACTCGGTAACCCTTTCGCGCGGTTCGACGTCGGTAACTATAGAGTCCAATACCGAATCCAGCGTTCTCCAGCCGGAGCTGGAGGTAACGAGCCCCGCGTTCGGCGCTGACAAGGGATGTAGCGTCGAGGAGTTCACCGATCTGAGTTTACGCGAGGAAGAAGGTGACTGTAGCGATCCTGCGCGTGACTATACCGAGCGGCAAATGGTGTTTTCAGAAGGCACGGCGGGTGTCACGGTATCGAAGCGTGCGCGCAACGAGCGGGACGGCGAAGGGATGTGGAAGGTAGCCAAGCGGCGATGCGTGGCCTTCGATTGTGTCACAATCCCCCATCTTCCTTCTTTAGGGGAACCTCGGATTCAGCCAGACGCTCGAAAAACAGATGCGCACACTTCTTCACCAGCATCGGAACCGACGAGCCGAAGCACCACGAGCAAATCTCCTAGCCCAGTTTCTCGCCCTCAAGCAATCCCTCTCACAAGCCCGCAACCATGCCCCACAGCTAGCGATCTCCCAGTTCTCTCATGTCCTTTAACGCGGTTCAAGCGGCAGCGGCCGCCGACAATAGATATCCCGCGTAAGGGCTGCTTCACGTCGTCGCCGGCCGGCACGCCGGATTCAGCGGCGGAGGATGCGCTGGACGGCGTGGTGGAGGTGGCGGAAAGCGGCGCGTGCTTTGCGGTGGCGTGCAAGCGCGGGCGGAAGGCGGTGATGGAGGACACGTACCAGGCGCTCATGGGGTTCGCGGGGCGCGAGAGCGATGTAAGTGCGGGGAGCTACCGACTCTGCATTTGCGTGTCGTCCACGTGCGTTTCATGCGTCTGCATGTCGCCGTGGCGTGCACGCGCGGGTGGAAAGCGGGGATGGAGGACACGTACCCGGCGCTCATGGGGTTCGCCGGGCGCGAGAGCGATGTGGACGTCAGGGGAATCGGGGTTATCTTCCCTGCGTTTGCGTGTCATGGACATGCGTGTCATGGACAAACGTGTCATGGAGATGCGTGTCGTTGACAGAGGGGTCATGGACATGCGTGTCATGGAGATGCGTGTCATTGATAGAGGGGTCATGGACATGCGCACCAGGCACTGCTGGGTTTCGCTGGGCGCGAGAGCTGTGAACGTGCGCAGGGGGCCGGGGTTGTGTGTTCTGCAAGTCATGGTTGTGCGTATCATGGATATGCGGGTCGTGGATATACATGTCATGGTTTTTCCACCGTTGCTTACCGCTCTGAACCACACCGCTCTGCGTCCCGCTGCAGGCGTTCTTCGGGGTGTTTGACGGGCATGGCGGCACGGCAGCCGCCAAGTTCGCAGCATCGGAGCTGGCGAGCCACGTGGCGCAGGCGGCTGCGCGCAGAGGCGCGCACGCCAGCGCGGCGGCGGTGGTGGAGGGGTACCTTGAGACGGATAGGCGCTTCCTGGGCCAGGTGCGTGTGAGGATGCCCGGGTGCTTTCTGCCTTGCCGGCTGAATGGCATCCCTCTCCGCCGTAATGTTGTCTCTGCAGACGCTTGCCGTTCTTGTTCTGCCCCATCTCACTTCTCTTCTCCCTCTCGTTCCTCCACTGCGCCCCTGCATCGCCCCTCGTACCACTATTCTACAGAACGTCGCCAGTGGCACGAGCTGTCTCACCTGCTGGGCCACGCCTGGGCGGCTTCTGCTGGCGCATGCGGGGGACTGCAAGGCGGTGCTGGTGAAGGGGGGAAGAGCGGTGGAGCTTACAGAAGACCACCGGGCGGGCAGGGAAGACGAGCAGGCCCGCATCACTGCCCTGGTAGGTCCCACCTCCCTGTCACTGGATCCAGCAGCGCCATGCTTAGCTTTACCCTGAGGAAGAATCTAGTATAAGGAGGCCTTGGTTCCCCGTTTGACCTTTTCTTGTGCTGCTCCTCCCACCCCTCCGGGCCCTCTTCTCCCGCCCATGTCCCCTCGCCCGCAGGGTGGCTTCGTGGACACGGCCACGGGCATGCCCCGCGTGCAGGGCATTCTGGCCGTCACGAGGGGCATAGGCGATGCACACTTGAAGGCGTTCATCACGCCGCAGCCGGACGTGGCGCAGGTGCGCGTGGGGGCGGACTGCAGCGCCCTCATCCTCGCCTCAGACGGGCTCTGGGATGTTGTGGCACCGCAAGAAGGCGCTGACGTGGTCATGGCTTGTGTTGGCACGGCATTGGAGGCACGGGCAGCAGCGGGAGAGGCGAAGGCAGCAGAGAGGGAGGTGGGGTCAGCAGCTTCTGCTCTGCTGGGACCGCCTGCCTCCCCCCCGTGCAAACGGGCTCGCATGCAACACACACAAGGATGGTCGGTTGAGCCACGGCAGGAGAGGGAGAAGGAGAGGGGGGAGTGGGTGCGCGAGAGAGAGTGCAGGAATCCGTTCAGCAGTCCACTAGGCACGCCTCCATGCACACCACGCTCGCACACGACAGCCACCACCCCTCCTTGCACCCCCCATTCTCGTGCCTCCACCACCCCACCCTGTCTTCCCCGCCCACGCATCCCCAGCAGCGCCACTAACACCACCACTGCCAGTGCCGTGACCACTGCCACTGCCACCACCACCCCACCCACGCCCCGCCGCCTTTTCTCTCCCGGCTCCATAGCCCGCCCTCCCTTCACACCTCCGTGGCTCGATACCCCTTGTGAGCCTTCTGTGCGTGTGGGGCCAAACAGTGCAGCAGCAGGGACTTCAGAGGAGGTTGTAGCAACTGAGAGGCCAGCTAATTTAGCAACATTGCAGCAAGCGAGTGCCGCAGTTCTGGCAGAGGAAAGGGAATCAGAAAGTGGTGGGAGCAAGAAGGTTGAAGGGGCTTTCCACAGTGAGAAGGGGATAAGAGATTGCAGTGGGGGTGGGGGTAGTGAGAGGGGAGGGAGTGAGAGAGAGACAAGAGAGGTGGATGGGGAGGTGCTGCTGAGTGCATGCCAGGCGTTGGTTGGCATGGCAGCAGCACGGGGGAGTAGGGACGATATCACTGTCATGCTTGTGTCACTTGCCCCTTTTGCTGAGTCAGCAGCATCTTAGGTTCCTGCTGACTCTAGTCAAAGTGTTGCTGATGGCAATGGCTGGCATCAGCTGGAATAGTTCCAAATGTAACTTGTATGTGCACTTGTACCTAAAGCAGTTGGTCAGTGTAGCATCCCTAACAAACAATTTGACGAAGGAACATTCAGCTGCCCAGTGGTCAGTGCTGCCAGCCAGTTGACAGAAAGGGCGACAGTGCTTACCGGTATGTCCATGAGCCATTTCAAGAGGCAAGTGACAAAGAGACACACGAGATTACTAAGACACACAAACTCATAATAGTACACTCCAACACTACAATACAGGGGCACTATTGGTATGATCTCTGGAAAACCAACACAACCACCTCCTACAAACTTAGCAGCCCTAATCAGACTATCAGACCCTAAACTATCTAAATCACTCCAATCTACACTACAATTTTGGCGCATCCTACAGGGTTATGCCATCAGAAAAAAGAGCAACCAGAACCCTCCAGGGCCTCCGGTCTAAAGCTGCTAGATGCTTAGGAAGATTAGCGCAGCAGGGCCACGGAAGCAGTCGCATGTGCTTCGAGCCGTGTGTAGTTGGCATGGTATGGCACGGCAGAGCACGGCATGACGCAGCGTAACACGATACTGTGGGATAGAAGGGCTCGCTTTGTACCTCTCACCGCCCTGAGTGAGAATATCAGTGACCCATGTGAAAGCTGTTGAAGTCAAGTAGTTGCGGTGAGTGATGGATTGAGAGGAATGGAGGGCGGTTGCAGGGATTGGAGATGTTTGAGCCTGGTTGTGTAACGCTGCAGAGGGTTCCCAATTACATTCAAAACTGCCTCGTGCAGGAAGTGGGGCGCGCCTTATCGAGGCATGGAAGGGAGGAGTAAGAAGGCTGAAGGAAGGCATGATTTGGAGGGGGGTGGCCGGTGGGCGAGCCCCGGTGGAAGGAGAGAGGCGCAACGTTCAGCATGCACCAAGAGCACCACGGCAGCATGCGTTAGACGTGCGTAAGCATGCGCTAAGAGCACGTCAGGAGGGCGCTAGGAAGTGCAACAGGAGCTGCAAAGTTAGGAGTCACAGCAGCACCGGGAGCAGAAGCTAGTGCAGCAGCAGGAGCGGGAGGAGCAGGTAGAGACGCAGCAGCAGAGGTGGAGGCGTGCATTGAAGGTTGCCCGTGAGCCCTGGCCGCCATGGCCTCTCTCTCCACCGCCTTCTTGTGACACCTGCCGGGGGCAGAGGTGGAGGAGAGACAAAAACCCGAGTGGGGCAGAAAAAAAAGGGCGGTCAGGGAAAGGAGGATCTCACGAAAGGCGTTAAAAGCGACGGGCATGAAGGGCCGGCGCGTGCAATAGAAAAGCTTGCAAAGTGTACAAAGATGATGTGTCCCACGTTTACTGTCAGGACGTGCCACGTGGCCTCACCTGGACTTGCCGTGTGTCCGCAGAGTGCTCCGCTGCAGGTCGACGGCGCCGTCGCGCGTGAACGGCGTGGGCTCGTCCGCGCACCACCGCAGGCACAGTGAGCACCGCATCGCCTGCCGCCCGTCCGCGCGCACGTGCAGCTCCGCCCAAGGGAACGCCGCTGTTGGGGAGAAGGCGGAGGGGAGATGGCGGGCGCGGAGGAGAGGGGCGCAGGAAAAGGGCGGAAAGAGGGGGGGAGGCAGAAAGGGTAGCGAACACGAAAAGAGGAGGGAACAAGGGGAGAGGAGAGGAGAGGGGGAAAGGCAGGGGGAGAACTGTTATGACCTAGTGCCAACGCGGAGTTAGCAGGGTGAATGCGGGATGCTAAGAAGCTTCGAGCCACAATACACACAGCCTTCCTCGCAACGCATAACACGCAGAATGCGAGCAACGGGCCACGTCAGCATCGCCTACTACCCGTGCTGCCCATTTGCAATTTACGTCTCGCTAGCGCTGCCACATTGCATTAAACTTACGTCGCCATTTCTCGGGTCGCCAGCAGTGCTTCGGCTTCTTGTTCGGCGACGCGCCGCTCCCCTTCTCCCCCCCGCATGCACGAAACGACTCGCCCTCCAACGCAGTCAGATCCCTCTTGCCGCATTTCACGGGCTCGCTGTCGAGAAGCTGAAGCGCATTGGACGGCAGAGATCCATTCGCGGCGGCAGGTGTTTCCAGCGACACCACAGCCGTCGGAACGGCGACGGTGCTCGCGTCTGCGAAGTTCAACGACAAACCTCGTACCACCGGCCTTTTCTCGCCAACGTTTCGCCACGGCGCCATTCTGACCTGCGACGCAGTAGGCAGTGCGAGGCACGGCCGTGAGTTGTGGGGCGGGGACGTGTGTTGCGGAGGCGCGGGGAAGAGGGAGAGGCGCAACGCGCAGTCCGCCTCGCGCGCTGCTTGGCGCTCGAACCCTGGCGAGATGGGCGAGGAGCGCTGAGACGTCGGCGGGGTGGGGGACGCGTCGACAAGGGGCGGAGCGAGCGAGAGGCGAAGCGAGCAGGGGGCATCCTCTTTATAATGCTCTTCGTTGTCCGCTTTGTGGTCGAGGCTCGAGTTGGCGGAAGACGACGACGAGGGGCAGGCCTTGCGGACGTGCGACACGGACGACGGTCGATCACCCGTGAACGTGGAAGGACGATCGGCCGTGAGGGGCGATGGGAGGTCGCATCCTGCTGTCGCAGGCGCTGGGCCGACGTGCCGTGGAGGGGATATTTGCAAAGATGGCGCAACCAGGTGAAACGCGGAGCGTGCACTGCAGCCTATTCGCACGTGTTGAGCCGAATTGGCGCTATTTTCTGCTCCGCTATTCACCGCTCTTCTGTTCGCCGCCCCAGTGAAGCCTGATCCGCATTGGCCTAGCCTAATGTTTACCCCGCTCCTGTTCTCGGTCTCGCTAGCGTCTACGGCGGAGGTCGCGGAGCTAGAAGGCGAGTGTCGCGGAAAGGGAATGTCCTTTTCCGCCGAACTAGATATCAGGTCCAACCCAAAGGCGGGAAGATTATCATCCGTGTCTTCCATAACACCTACCAGCACTAACTCTGGCTATCTTTCGATCAGGCGGTGAGTTCGGAAAATGAAATGGTGGAGATCAAGGGAGCTTGGTATGACGAGGCTGGCTTTGCCGCCAGTGCTGTGGCCAGGCGGCTGATTGAAAAGGCGACTGAATATCTAGCTGCAGTGCTTTTGGTGTGGAGACCTGAGGGTTCCGAACAAAAGTGCCATAACCCAAGGGTTCGCCTTTCTCTAGCCCTTGCTTTTGGTCCAGGAGCCTGATTCGCGGCGCTTGCGAGGCGTCCCACCTTACTGCGAGGAAAGGAACTAATCTGCGGCAGACAAGGAGCCCCCAGAGGCGCGTAACGCTCGCGGGTGGTTCAGCTGTGCTGGGATGAACCGTCCGTAGTCGCCGCAGCGGACACTGGATGGGAGTGAGAGACGGGAGAGTGGCGACGAAGATAGCCAAGGGAGAGGAGAAGGGAAGAGGCGCAAAATGTCAAAATGTGGGTCCGAGGCGCGCGCTGGTAATCACTGTGCAACGCACCCTGCTGCTTGCCCCGCACTCGCTGCCCTAACCTAGGGCGATATCTGAAAATGCGTGGCGCAGGTGATTTTCGCGACCTTTGGTATGGCGAAATCATGGGTTCGTCAAGCCCTCGCACGATGCAGTGCGAGTTTTCGTCAGTAGGTAATGACTGTCGCCTCGTGCTGTTCTGGTTGGCGAAGCATCGCAGAGGCGTTACACGAGCCTCAACCAAACCCCGAGTGCTGCTGATCCAGAAGGGCCATTTCGTTGATGGGGCATCGACTGCACAGCTTCGTGACTTCGCCGAGTCGCCACGAAGGTGGTGGTCCTCCAGAGCGGTTCGATGAATATGCCACGTGGAGGGCGCAACCAGCAGCCAACGAAACCCCGCCAGCACGTCAAGGCTCTGACATCTGACTGACACTTCAGGAAAATGAGAATGTACGCGATCATTGAACGCTCGCTAGCAAGACAATGCATCTACATTATTACTCTACCTTGTTATGTCAGAGTGAATGGTGTAATTCGATCTCCTCCATATACACATGCAAAAAACCTAGAAAGTTGGCGGGAAGCCTTGCCTTGAACTTGACACAAACGCGGGGAAACACACGGCTAGCGTCCTAGTCTTGGCAGTGCCAAATTCGTGAGCAATATCATGTACAGGAGGAGGTCATCATCGGGGCTGCACACCTAGCACGATAAACGCGTTGCGAGGCCGTCTTTTACCTCTTCAGATTCGACAAGTGACAGCGCGAACACCAAAATCCGCTCTTGTTTCCCAATCACATGCAGATGATCAACTCGTGGTTTCAGGGTGGTCCTAGCTTTAGAGATGAGCCCGTGTCGCTCATGGATAGCTGGCGGGCGTATGAGGCCCAGGGTGGTGGATTAGACATGGAGAGTGGCGAGGTTGCGTCGTCGTCTGGAGCAGGTGGCGGCGGATCTTCAGGAGGTGCAACAGCTAGCGGGATTCCCGGACTTAGCTTCGACGCTTTCACGCCGTATTTTCAGAACGCGTCCGATTCCGTCAATGCGACATGGTCGAGGTGAGACAGCATCTAGTTCGCGACTGGAAATTCGAATTATACCAGCTTCTAATGCGTTTTGGTAATGATGCTATTCACTTGTGGATGTCAGCACATGCGGACCTTACTGAATCATATTCCTCCCGTGACCCCGCCTCTCTCCCTCGCATACCCCTCACCCGAAACCTCCAGTGTTTCAAAGAACGTGCAGGAGTTGCCAGGAAGCATACAGAAGCAGGCGAACGTGCTGCCGTCGCGGAAAGCCCTGATGTACTTCGTGGTGGTGCTGGCGACGGGCGTGTTCTTCCTCTTCCTTGCCTTCTCCATGTTCCTCCCGGTCATTGTGCTCGCTCCTCAGAAGTTCGCTGTCTGCTTCACAATAGGCTGCCTGCTCGTGGTGGGCTCCTTCTTTGTGCTCAAAGGACCCATGGTGCAGCTCCAGAGCATGACCTCCGCTGAGGTACGCTATGCGCTGTTACCAGTGGCTGAAAGACGTTTTTTGATGCAGCAT